TGTGTGTGTGTGTGTGTGTGTGTGCGCGCGCGCGTGTGGATACCAGTTTTATCAGGCCGCCGTCTGATTCTGTATTGCCATCGACACAGAGTTCTTAGCTGAGTACTCAGGAGCCGTAAAATAAATAAAATAAAATTTTAAACGGCTATAATAAAAAAAACTAGTCATTTTCAAGCTTTGTGCCTATGGACATTTTTATCAGTAAGTCAAGAACTATAACATACTAAAGTTTCAGCCAATAACTTCAAATCCGGCCAAAATCCTATGATTTTATAAAGTCTTTTATATTTATTAAATTGAAATTATGTTGCGATATAATAATAATAATAATTCGACGAATTAAAATTATGTCAAGGCATAATAAAAATTGTTTTTATTTTAATTTAGATACAATTTCAATATTAAATTATGTCAATATTAATTGTGTCAGAGACAAAAATTTGGAATTATTATTATGTCGGGACATAATTTTAATTTGTAGAATTATTATTATGATTGACATTAGTTCTGGCTCAGTAAATTCTACTTAACTTTCAAAGTATAATATCAGCCTATAAAAGTGCTATTTAAATATTGTTATTCAAAAAGAATATATATCTTTATTTTTTTAATTATAATAAAATAAAAAATTATTTTATAAAAAATATTTTTTAAATTTTATTCTATTCTTATTTATTATTTTTCTCAATTTAAGATTAAAATTATTCATGAATGTATTATAATAAAATTTTTATAAGCAATAATTGAAAAAATTATTATAAAATAAATTTTACAGTACAATAGATCAATGTTACCTTAGATAATTACAAAATCATACCCAATTGTCCTAAAAATTAATTTTTATTTATCATGTTTAGTTATATATAGAACAGCCATTGAAATTAAACGCACTTGAATACGAATAATCGGTGTGTGTACGCAGAGATTTCCTCTTTAAAATGATCGTGAAGACCCTGGTTTCACAGTTGCTGCTTTTGTTAGTCTTTTATGACCGTAAGTATATTATTTGTTTCATGCAATATTCCCGAATAGCACGTAATACTGCGTAAATATTGAATAATATATTGTGTTACGTCCAAGAATCCCAGGATTGTTTAAAAGAGTTTTGAAGTAAGGAGAGAGCCACATAGGAATGTAATTCAGATCCTTCTTGTGATCAACATTCTGGATCATCTATTATACGAGGTGTGGCTATTAAATAACGAGACTGACACTGTAAAACATTTTATTTTGATTTCATACATATTTACTTATTATCATCTTCAATATACACCCCTCCTCTATCCCTACAACGCACCATGCGAATCTTCCATTGTTTGAAACAGTGCTGAAAGTCTTCTTCTGTCAGCTCCTTCAGGACGCGTGCCGCTTTCTCTTTCACAGCTCCAACGGACTCAAATCTTGTTCCTTTTAATGCAGATTTCACTTTAGGAAACAGATAGAAGTCGCACGGCGAATAAGGCGGATGATCTAACACTGAGATGCTGTACTTGGCTAGAAACCTCTTGACAGACAATGCGGAATGAGCCGGCGCATTGTCTTGATGGAGAATCATTTAAAATTGTTATGTAAA